CTGATTCTGATTCTGATTCTGTGAAGAACATTATTTAATGGAACGGTGGTAACCAACCTTTTCCTTAAGGGACCCGTTTGCTATAATTTAGTGTACTGACAATATATTTCATATTATGAAATATTCATAAAAATGATATTTTGTTGTGTCAAATCTCTCATTTAAATATAGATATCCAAAATGTGTCAGCTCAGTTGCTCCCTGCTATTAAAGAACCCCTTCCTTCCCTGCCTGGTTTAGACTGGGCTTTTTTTAGTGTGTATTGAACAGAACTAGGAGGACAGCTTGCAGAGTCCCCGTTGTCGTCACCACCCTGTGGTGGACATTATGTTCCGCGGATGTGAGAATCTTAATGCTCAGCGTCTCTCCAACTTGCTGGCGACCCAAAGCAGACACAGTCAAGAGTGGTACTGTAGATTGGGACCTGGGCCAGACCCACAACTGCCAACAAAGTTCCTTTGCCTTCACAGAAAGCCAGAAGCAGCAGCCTCCTTAACCCCATTCAAAATTTTAGACTTTTTCACAAAAGAATTATTGGATAATGCTGCAACGGTTAGTTGATTAAAGAGAATTAATTGCCAACTATTTTAATCATTTCAGTCATTTTTCAAAACAAACATTCGACTTTTGATGTAAAAATAATTGGCAGAGTCATCGATAGTTAGTTTCAGCCCTTTTTCTGGAATAATAATGCATGCTCAACCCCTAAACTTCAGTTATAATTGTGGTTACGCAGTGTGGGAATGGAGCCAAGCATGCACATTTGTGTGTGTTAACAGCACAAATAAGATATTAAAATCTTGTGATCAAAAAATCTGAAAATAAAGTTCACTTTTCAGAGTTTGTCAGTAGAGGGCAGCTTTTGGTCAGAGTAATGGGAGACGCAATGTTGCCTGAAGTGCTCTGGGTTCAGTTTATAGATTGGGAACAAAGGAATTTTCTAATCACTACTCATTTCCCACTACAGTGACAGCCTAAGACTAAATTTAATATCACTGTTTATCCCCCCAAAAAAGTTAGAAAGTTCAATCACGATAAGGCTTCATTGAAAGCAGTTGAGAGGCTTTTGTGTGACTAACACAAAGCAACAAAAAAAAAAAAAACCACTAGTATGTGGATTCTGTTAAACGGTGGCTTCTCACACCTGGGGCTAAAAGACATCAGGCTAATTCGTGCCATTTGCATGAACAAACTGACAGTAAGCCTGGTGGCTGGGAACTGGGCCTGCTGATTATCTGGCAGTGCCAGAGTCTCTTGTTTACCCGCCTCACACTTGTTTTATCAGGAGCGGCTCAAGGACAGGCAGCAAGACTAGCTGCTCGCTTTCCTGTTCAAACATATGTTTGTGTTTGGGTTTCCAGACATCCACCCACCGCCGTTTGTGTGTGTGTGTGTGTGACAAAGAGAGCAACGCCCGCTCCTTAGAGATCCTCTCTTCAGGCCAGTCGTAAAGACACGCAGGTCAATAAAGATATAAACATAGACACATGGACACAGCAGGTCATGTCTTATCAATGAAGTCTGATGAATTTTCATTTTCCATAAGTGTGCAGGGTGTGGAGATTAAAAGAAAAGAGAGTATGAGAATGCCTGCAGGTCCTCAGTGCCCATTATATCCCATTGCTATAGTGCCTATTGAGCAAGCTCTACAGGCTGGGACTAGTCTAGCCCCAGTTTGTGTCTCTCTTATTACCATTACATTTAAGTCACAGTGGCAAGCATCCGTTTTTCTGAAACATAATTACCCTGCAATGTTTGAAAGACCCAGAGGCCCAATCTTCAAAGACTCTCCTACCCATCTGGAAATAATATTTTGTTTGGTGCACAGCAACAAATACTTTTTACAAAGCTGTGACTCTGTGGCCTAATCCAAACAAGGATGGCACATTTCAACATATGCTTGATGTATAGCGGCTGTCTGATTTAGAGAGCGGGGCAGCCAATGGCCGATATATGATGCAGATATCAAAAGAAAATTAACGATCTACAATTTTGTTCTATTCTATAGCAAATTCAGGCATATGTTCAAAGCAGGATGCATGAGTTATAGTACACGGCTTCAAACTAACTTTTTCACCACATTCCCAAAATTCCCAAAGAGGAGTGCTAACATCATTCCACAGCAGCCACACTGACAGCCTGCCTGCAGATATGTCTGCTTCTTGTTTATCTGCCTCATGAGCGCAGGCATTGGCCTGTGCCGATTATCTCAAAAGGCTAGATAATCCAATTAATAGGCAGACCAATTAATTGGTCTATCACTAATTTATACAATGTGAACCAAAATAAGATGTATAATATATGAGTTACATTTGTCTGTATTGATGTTACTTTATACGTTATATTATTTCACATTGTCATTTTAAAAAGCAGCACATGAGAAAAGGGTTTAAAAAATGTTTTGTTTTAAGAAGTCTTGTTAAATGACCTTGTGGATTTATTTCTCAGAGAATTTTATTAATAATTTACTGACACCGTGACTCAAATGAACTTAAATGTACTTAAAACTGGGGCTAATACTTTGTAATAACCTATTATTCCCCTATAACCTGTTGTGAGTGAGCTGCTGGTCATTAATAAAACTGCCACAAACAGAGGATGCATTTCATTCAACTTGTAGCCTTATGACTCAGAGTCTTACTGCAGTGGCCCTCATCAAGACAGTGCAGTCTTCCTCCCAGTAGCCAGCCTGTGTTGAGTGTCAACAGCAAAGCATATGGCGGACGATGCGCGGACTGTGACAGCTGACACCTCAACTCTGAGCGTTAAACCACACAGGAGAAAGAGATGGAGGTCTGTGTCTCTCAGCTGGAGGCCATTATGAAGACACACACTCAAACAACACGGTGGAAAGGGCTGAAAAGTCCCAAAGTGGCTGAATTGAAACCCACAATTAAAATATGGTCAACTAATGACTAATCCTGAGGTGCTTACAAATATTTTATTCATTAAAGTCAGCTAAACTGCTCAGGTTTTAGCTAATATGCCAATACACTTCATTATGAGTTGATTCAAGCTACAATAGGCTATTACTAATGTTTCTACACTGACTGTGGATGATATTTTCAACAACAATCAGTCTGAGACGTACTAAAGAAATGTTACGTTAGTCTTTGTTCGTTTACAAACAGAGAGTTAGCTACAATAACCCACCTTCCGGGAACCTTTGCGTTTCTCCTCCAAAAATTGATCCTGTTCTCGGTGGCCATACTCGGAGAACACAACCCCCTTTAGTCCGACACCGAAACCGGCTCCTCTCGCGAACAAAGCATGGGGAAACCGTTTCCGCGTTTCACTGGCTGCAGCTCAGCCTCGATCGGCTTCTTCTGGTCTGCCTCCTCGTGAGTTCAGGCGACCGGGAGATAGTAATATTTAGCTTTCAAATGCGATGATGTATGATGCAGAGCACTGGAAGCCGCCATCTTGGAGCGCACCGACCGAAGTGTGTGATTGGCGGGCGGGTCGAACAGGTGCAGTGAAAATGGCCAATAGGAGTTCCGGTCAGGGATGCTCTGTGATAAACACACACAGAAACATGACGAGATGTTTGAAACTTCAGGCTGGTAGGAGAACAATTATTGTTCTTCTGAAGTGACATACAGTTCATTGGAAATGCCGTTGTTGGCACTTCAGTCATGTTGTAATATACAACAAAGGGACGTGGGTTCAAACTCCTGTGTTAGCAACCGTCGACTCTCCGTCCTGACCTGATTAGACATTAGACAAAATGTAAGGAAAAAAGTGACCTGATAGATCATTTGGACAACTGTGCAGAACTGTAGTGTTTACAGTAGGTCACTTATAATCCTCTTCTCTGAAGGGTCATAAATAGTTGTAACACCTAAAGCTGCACTCTCATCTAGCTGACCTCTGACCTTACTGGAGGGTGCAAATAAAAAACTTCTGTATGGTGAAAAAACCCCAACATATCCAGAGATACACAAGGCTAATCAGTTAAGTTTCAAGAAGAAGAGGGAAATTAAGAAGTCTGAAATAGTAATCCAGTGTAGTACTGCTTTACAGTGTTCTTTAAGCTCTTTAGTAGATGTTCTGTAACTATTACATGCTATACAAACCACAAAACTGCACACAAATCTTAATACTTCCTCTGCATTTTATTTGATAAGCGTTACTTCTCTATTTTTTCAGATGCTGCACCTCAACCCTCCATCCACATGAGGGCAGGCATTTTCTGCTACAGTGAGAGCGCCCCAGTCAAAAAGAAACCAGCTGAACCACCTCCTGTTTACTGTAAATGAAACATGAGTTTTCAATTTATGCTGCTGTCAACAACAGGTAGCTGACGGCACAGAAGGCCTTGTTTTGCCTGAATGATTTTGTAGTTTATAAACTGAAATAAAATCCTTTTTATTTTCATTGTTGTTGGCTTACACAGAGCATTTTGCCGTCCTTTTGCCCTATTCAAATGCAGGCAAATGAAGGATCTAGAGACATGACTGAGTTTCACTTTACATGCCAGATTGCATTTGAATTTCAGGTGCTCTTTGGTGTCTGTTTGTTTAGGGAAATCAGTGCAGTTCCCCACCTGTCCTCACCTCCTCCAGCGTCCAACGGACTCCAACTGACAAAATCCAGGTGAGAGTTTATATTTGGGTTACTTGCTGTGCTGTAATATTTTCACAGGCTGGGAACATATGTCTGTCGTGGATCCTTATGAGTGGAGAATAGCTCCATTCACACATTTTCTAGTACTGTGTTATATATATGTATTTTTTTTTTAGATTTTAAAACTTGCCTCAAGTGGGTCTTGTGACTTTTTGCCACTACATTACTTTTGGTGTAGTCAGCTCACTGAGGAAAAGAGTGTTGTGAGAGGCTGAGAGGAGATACACTCATATAGTCACAAGGCAGGACAATGGGCAACTGTGTGGGACTACTGGAGTTGCCTGGGGCACAACATTTTGCTAAACAACACACTTTTACTTTGAACTTGCGAGACAATCATGGCTACTTACTTATTGTCTTTTACATTCTTCTTTAAGTATAAACTAGGTATGCTGTAAAGGCAAACATGATTTGTTTTTACTTTAAAGTCTAAAAAGATCATTTTAACGCATGCTCAGTGGACTTTAAGCCTCTGGCTATATTTTAGTTTGTGTGTGACCCCCTTGTTTTGCCCTCCCTCTCACCCCTGAAAGGATAGCATTGTGACTTGTTCTCTTCCTCAAAAACTACTCCGAAAACATTCTTTAGGAAAAGAGGAACTTTTTTCTTTTGTTGTCCTGTCATCGTGGCAGATGTTCTACGGCTCAACACTAATTCTCAAAGTTTACAGAACGTTGGGGGAATTGTAGCTTTTGAGTATTTGAAGAAAAAGTTGCAAATAACTTTTTGAGAAGTGGGAGTTTGTTCAAAGCTTTTGTCAGAAGAGGTAAGTTTTTTACACAAACACACAAACTGAACTTTACACAAGCTAATTTATAATTATTAATTAAGTTAAAAAAAGTTATAATTTCTATATAAATATTTATAACATACTATAATGTAGTCATAAGCAGATATTAGGGCATTTTAAGTGTTTATTAATGTACAGTATTTGTCAGCAATTTCTCCTATGAAGACAAATTTTATATTAATACAACTTTTGTCATTCATTATCTATTTAGACATCAGCCTCCACTTCTAGGTGCCCACAGGGGGCGTTATAGTTGTTGACAAATATATCTGCTTACACATTAGTCTGTGTTATAAACCATTTATTAAATGTTTATTTATGTTTACTGTTTATAAATGCAATATAGGTGGACTGCTGAAAATTCTTGTTGTACATTTGTATGCTTTTTGCATTAAACGTTTGTGAAGCTACATTAGTCACATTAGAATATTGTTTTTATGAGATGGATAAAAGAAAGCACTTTTACCACAGTTTTTCCCACAGTGAGGACTTTGTATGATGACACAACTTAGAGTGAAATGTATTTTAAAGCTGCAGTAGGTAACTTTTATAAAATAACTTTTTGTCATATTTGCTAAAACTTTCACTATATCCTGAACCCGGTAGTACATGAGACCAGGATATATCTGTGAAAAGAGTCGACAGTAATTACTGATTGTTCATGTGCTCATTCCTCAGACCGAGAGCATAGGCAGGGAGACTTGGCAATATCAACTAACTCTTCAAGCCTCCCAACCAAAAGGCGTCCTTCACTATCTTTCTTGGCCTCTGAGTTGGTTGTTTTTCGTTCAGGGCCGGTGATTCTCGTAAATACCATTAGCGAGTACTAGGAGCGAACGCAGAGGAACCTGATTTGTTTCACAGATCTATCCTGGTCTCGAATGTACTACTGTCAGGATATAGTGGAAGAGTTTCAGCAAATAATGAATAGAAACAAAGTTTTTTAAATAAAACAAAAGTCTACCTACTGGCCAGCTTCTTAATTTGAAAACAATTAAAAAAGGCTGCACTGTGGCAGAAACAAAAACAAACCCCCTGATCTTTTTCGAATTTGGTCTTCAGGCACAGATGGTGATGTATACGCCGAACTCTTCACTCAAACGGTCAACGCGGTCATCAAAAAGTAGCTGTGCCTCACAAGCTCTGACTGTGACCCGGGCCCTGAAGGGATTGTGGAACATTAAACTGAGAAAGGTTAAGAGGCAAGAAACGGCGCGGGTGCACACACACAACACACAAACAAACTTCTTCACAGTAATGGGCATCTATACCTGTGAACGAAGTTTGTTTGTGTGTTGTTGTGTGTTGCACGCGCTTCCAAAATTTACCACTTTAAACAGATATAATGTAAGGGTACAATTAAATAATTTATTTAAAACCAGTAAATGAACATTACTCCTATATATCGAATAAACATCAAATTAGAAATCATCTGCATTTCATCATCTTGATACTTGGTGCTCATGGTCTTCTGTACAACATTAACGTGAATGATTGAGTTGTGACGCACAACTCCTAACTGATGTAATGATGTGCCAACGCATCCACATTTGACCAACAAGTTTATAGTTTTCGACATTGTAACATATTTGTGTAGTGATGCCACGAAGCCAGCTTAGAACTCGCTCAGAGCGGCGTCACTCGGTGGGCTTGTTAAGAGCCTTTTATACATCCTAAGTGACGAGGAGACCTGCTTCGTCCATTGGAAACGCGCTGCTTTTAATGCTGACGTGCTTTAACGGGGTATAGTATCAACCCATAATAAGTCGCATGCTAAAATCTTATTCCCCAAAATAAATCCTTCACATTTTTTCAATGGTGTTATTTGTGCGATCACAAACACACCATTTTCCCCCAAGCTATTGACGACTCTCTCTCCGCAACCCGTGCTGCTGAACTGCACTCTGGCCCCAAAGGTGTTCTTCCTGCACGCGCTCACACCATGGCTTGATGAACCCTTTCTGGGTGTCTACGGGCTGACCCAGGATCAGAATTGAGGTTTAAGCGGCATTTACACCCCCAGTGGCTGCCCAATGGCACATTAATGCCTCAGATAGCCCTCTTTCTAACACGGTGTGGTAAATTTGTGGAGAGGAAAGTTGACCCCCACACGTCTCTTTCCAACACCAGGTGCTCTGTCCTCGAGTGTTAAGTGAAGACAAAAACCAAAAACATTTTTACTTGTGCTTGGTCTTTCAAGAACAGCTTCGTTTTCCATGTACTTTAATTGAAGAAGCTACCTTCGATATTAGTCCTAAAAGTGTGTTTCTTCCCTGTTCTCTACGAGTGTGCTGTTTGAATGCTGTCTGTGCAGAGTTTGACTCTAGAAGGATGTTTTCACATTCATCTGCTGAAAGTGGAAAGTTTCTCTGAGCTCATTGAAAATCTGATTTTAAGGGGCGGGGCCTACCAGCAGGATTTGTGACATCATAAATAGTTAGGAAGTCAGTGCTGGTCCAGTATCAACTTGTACAGTGTGATGTAGAAACTTGAAGCCACCAGTGCACATCTACTGAGAATGGACTTTACAATGAAGTAGGAAACACCGTGTATCCAGCAGGAAAACTTTAGAAATTAACAAGATTTGCATATTCAGAGATTCTGGAATTTTAGAGTTTAGATTTGGCCCAAATTCTGTGTGAGCCCGAAATCAAACCGAACCCTGGAAGCAGTTTTAGGCCCTAGGCCAACTCAAACCCAAATTTAAATAAGTTAAATACTTTATTACAAGCTAAAGACTACATTGTGCATACAATATAATATAGTGCAAATTATTATCAAAAATAAAAATGTAAATTTTCTCATTAATTACAGTTGCATGCATTATTAATAAAATATGAATCTAATTCTGTCTGAGCCCAACCTGAGCCCGGCCTACGGCAGCAGTACTTTAAATTTTTCTTAGGGCCCCAAAAAGGCTGGGACTGGCCCTGCTTCCAGTGAATCAAATAATGTTCTCTCAGTAAAATGCCACCAAAACATTTGGTTTTCATTTGATTCACACTTTCATGTGC